GAGAGTCTTTCTTTTTCTTATTTGGCACTACAACCGTTTGTCGGTTTGGGCCGAGACCAAAAAGCTTCGCCAGTTGCCTCTCTCCTTTCCGGATCTGCGCTAGTTCTTCATCCCAAGTGCGGACAGGCCCTTCTGCAATTGGTCCTTCCATTGTGTTCGTGGGCGCCCTTGCTTTCGTTTTTCACCCATGGGTGCGGAGTCGAAGGATCTTTTCACCGTAGCGTCGTCATCCTTGCGTACAATATGTCTAAGCCAGCACAATCGTTGATGTTGTTGTTGTTGTAGCGGCTACTCAACCCCGCCTATATCGGCTTGTCTCTCAATCGTTGTCGTCAAGCTCAACTAACGGGAAACCCAGGAAGCGTACAGCTTCAATCAGGTTTGTGGGGTGGTTGTGTTTCCAAAACCGCATTCACAGGTCGACAGTCAGTGTAGGTCGGCACTGTGAGTGCCGTGTATAGCCTGTCAGCATGCTTTAGGGTCTGACGCAAGAATGATAGAATGATTTTTGAACGTTATTTTTGCGTGGTGTCATTTTGCTGCAATTTTGAGAGAGACAAGTAAAACGCCAAGGAAAAAATATAAAACAATGCAGGAATATGTGTTAATATCAATATTAAATGGCCCAATTTTAAAGGAGTTATTAAATATACAAAGTTCAATTAAATAGGAACACGTAGCAATGATTTTCGGCATGTAGTAGAGATGGGCACGGGCCTAAATTTTCGAATTTATTAATAAATATGTGACCGCAAATTACAAAATTAGGTTTTACAATAAAGTGTAGACCCTTGACTACAAGTGTGTGTAAAATTTTTCGGATCGGGTCACCCATTCGGACACAATAGCCCGAAATCATTCGACAAATAACTAAACCATACCCAGTTAAATTGTTACACATTTGGTTTTCCTCAATCAATAGTTGCGTTCCTTATCTCCCAGAAATAGTGAGAAACAGTCCGAAGTTGTCAGATTTAGTCCAAAAAGCGTTTCTTAACTTGAAAATGACAGCAGAAATAAGAAAGCAACTGTGACTCTCTTCAGTCCGAAGTTACAAGATCTACCCTGGGATTCAGTAATGCAGTCTCATCTCAAGTCACTAAATTTGAGATTAGCAATTAGTTACTATTTTTGTGACTTGAGATGATTTGGCTATTCAGTAGGAGAGAGTCACAAAAAGTTCACCAAAAATGTGTGGGGAAAACACACACAGACAGTCAACTGACAGCATTTGTGTATGCCTTTTACCGCGCCGCCCGAAGAGTCGCAATGGCCGAGTGGTCAAAGCATTAGGCTGCCGGTCGAGAAGGTCCGGGTTCGAGTACACCTCGGGCGTAGAGGATTTTTTTTTTTATTTAGTATTTTTTTTATTAGTTTTATTTTTTTAATAATCTTTAGATTTTAATGTTAAAAAAAAATATATTTTTTTTCAATGGATTTGTATGTTAAAGCATTTTGGTTTATTTCCTAACGAAATTCTTATTGAACAAATTTCCTCGCTTCACTTTCGCGTTTTTTTTTTTAATAAAATGGAAAGAAATAAGCTTTTCCTCCATACTTCTATTTTAGTGACCGGATCTTAGCCACAAATTAGTGTTTTATTTTTGAGACTAGAGACGTGAGACAGCGTACTGAATACCAAATAGTTTCAAAATCCTAGTTCACCACCAAAAGTCACTATTAGTGACTTGAGACCGCTTACTGAATGCCAGGGTTAAGGTTTGTCCCACACGAGCCCGCGGGATCTCGCGGGTGCCCAAAAAGCGTTCCTCACACTAGAATAATGGGTAATAGAGAGCGAATACCTTCCACTTTTGCGTCGTAAATGTCTTCTTCTTCGTGCCCGAAACAGCCCGGACCGTTTTTTCCGGGCAAAAATATGCAAGAAGTCAATTTGAAATAACAACTGTTGTTTGTTTACATCCGAAAGTAAATTTTGTAAAATACAAAAATGGAAAATAACACTTCAAAGACGTAGTTATTTGCTAATTTTATTAGCTATATAAAATAAATACACATAAGATCATTCTTTAGAGCTGGTTTGTTGATTCCGGGCCTGAAATGTGATTTTTTTGCGTTCCTCACCCTCTGGCACGTGTTGACACATTTTTGACACTTGTGAGAGAGTAATTTATTTTTACGCTCTAATTACCGAAACAACCCGGAAAGCGTGTGGAACAGACCTATCTATAGTCAGAAGAATTTTTTGCTGGTAAAATCTTGAAAAGTGTCAAACTCAACTGAATTTACCCTGGGATTCAATAATTCAGTCTCATCTCAAGTCAATAAATTTGAGATTAGCAATTAGTGACTATTTTTTGTCTTGAGACGATTTGGGTATTCAGAAGGAGAGAGTCACAAAAACTTCGCCAAAAATGTGTGGTGAAAGCAAACACGGACAATCAACTGATAGTGTTTATGTATGCCTTTTGCCCGCGCGGCACAAAGAGTCGCAATGGCCGAGTTGTCAAAGCATTAGGCTGGCAGCCGAGAGGGTCCCGGTTCAAGTCCTCCTCGAGCGTAGAGGATTTTTTTTTTATTCGTATTTTTTTTATTAGTTTTATTTTTTGTTAACAATCTTTAGATTTTAAAGTTTTAAAAACAAAAAAATAATTTTTTTTCAATACATTTGTATGATGTTGAAGCATTTTGGTTTATTTCCTAATGAAATTCTTGTTGAACAAATTTCCTCGCTTCATTTTCGCGTTTTTTTTTTTAATAAAATGGAAAGAAATAAGCTTTTCCTCCATACTTCTATTATTGTGACCCGCTCTTAGCCAGCTGACAAATTAGTGTTTTATTTTTGAGACTAGAGAAGTGAGACAGCGTACTGAATACCAAATAGTCTCAAAATCCTAGTTCACCACCAAAAGTCACTATTAGTGACTAGAGACCGCTTACTGAATGCCAGGGTTAAAGAATAAACGAAAAGTGAGAATAATCTAAAGGCAAAAAAAAAGTGAATTGAAAATTGGAGGAGGCAAAAAATAATTGATGTAGTAAGTGTTTATTGGGCTCTTGCGAATATGTTTTGTACATACATTTCTATTTTAATTTGGCATTAGTTTTGTTGCCATTCCCATATCACGTACCGGTCACAAAGAGAATATACCGGTCTTATCCTGGCATTCAGTAAGCGGTCTCTAGTCACTAATAGTGACTTTTGGTAGTGAATTTGGATTTTGAGACAATTTGGTAATCAGTACGCTGTCTCACTTCTCTAGTCTCAAAAATAAAACACTAATTTGACGTCAGCAAAACAGCTGATTCTGTCAAATTCACTGAGGGCCGATTAGCGGTGTTGCTATCGACGCCACCTTCTGTATTCTCTTCACCGTGGTGGTCTGCGTAAAGAGAAATACACCACACAAGCGGCTTGTCAAAAATAATTCAAACCTTCTTTTCCCATTTTCGCTATACACCATGCAAACATGACTCGTTGAAGCAAAGAACATGGTAATTCGCCTTGGAACATGGCGACCAGAAAATTAAAAACTTTTGATTTTTGTTCATATTTCCCCTTAAACGGCTTGTCAAACCATCAAACACCCACATACACAACACAAATAGCTTGAAGCAAAGGGATATTTCGCTAAGTTTGTCAAGCCGCTTGTTTTGTCAATTTCGCCCATAAAGCTGCCAACATTTTGGGCGACATCTGTGGTTAATACTTTTTATGTTCGCAACGTCAGACGATATTTTGTGTTAAAAACCGCATAAATTAAGTTTTTCTGAATGCAAATAGTAGAAAATGCCAGCCAGTGGGGACCAAAAAATTGATGAATCCGGTGAGTTTATTATTCTACGAATAAAGCATGCAAAGTCATTTATTTCTTGACACATAGCGGAAGTGCGGAACTACTTTCTTAAACTACTGGATACGGATAAGGATCTATCCTCGGGCATAGCCGCGATTAAAACATTGTTAATGATACTCGAGAAAAAACAATGTAAGCAATGCACAAAAATCCTCCGACATCATACAGCAATTGTTTGTTTTCTCTGCTTCAGTTGACACCATACACATCCTTCACACTACAATGCGTGACGCGGTGGCGACAATGCGCAACACTGACCTGTCCATTGCTGCAGTAGTATCCGGCGGAGAACTTTTCTGTCGCTTCATTACATTAAGTTTGGATGACAAACACATGGAAGAATGTCGACAAATAATGTTGCATCGTGGTAAAATATTTCTAACAAAGCTTTTAAACTCTCGCAATGTGATTGCCCAACAAGCGAAAAAATTCGTTGCTGATGGCTGTCGCGTGCTGACCCACTCGCGTTCACGCGTAGTGCTAAAAACACTTATAAGTGCTGCGAAAAATAAAGAATTCCACGTTTATGTAACACAAGGTGGGCCTGACAATTCCGGGTAAGTAAAATACAGCCTCGAGAAGCATAATTATTCAGTTCAATTTAATTTTTAAACAAGCTCTCAAATGGTTGACGAACTCGGGCGAGCTGGAATAAGTAGCACTCTGATTCTGGATTCGGCAACGGGCTATGTAATGGAGTCTGTAGACTTTGTAATGGTTGGTGCAGAAGCCGTGGTTGAAAGCGGGGGCATTATCAATCGCATTGGAACTTTCACAATGGGCTTGTGCGCCCGTGAAATGAAGAAACCTTTTTATGTTCTGGCTGAAAGTTTCAAATTCACCAGACTCTACCCGCTAAATCAACGTGACCTTCCGGATGAGTATAAAGTAAATTGCGATATGCATTTTTTAAATATCATGTTTATACCTTTTTTGTCCCTCTTTGCAGTATTCTCGCAAACACCTGGTCGACGTATCTAAAGTGCACCCACAAGTTGACTACACGCCACCTGCTTATATCACTTTGTTGTTCACCGATTTGGGCATTCTTACGCCCTCGGCTGTTAGTGATGAATTGATTAAACTTTATATGTAATTTACATATATTGATGCAATGTTTTCAAGTGTACTACAAACAAAACTTAATAAATATTAATGCAAGTGCATTTTTACAAAACCAGCTAAATTTGTTAAATTTTATTAAGCATAATTGCAGTTTTAAAGAGCAACACAAGTGCAAAATATTTGCTTTCTGGTTAGACAACGGTTTATGATGGTATTATTTTTTGTAGTCATTAAAGGCAACTGCTAATATAGTAAATTTTAAGCATACTTTGTCCAAATAAGATCGAAATCTAACTCAAGCCGAGAGATCGCCGCAGACGATTAGCAGTGTTGTATTCCTGCTCGCTGCGTTCATGTTCAGCGGCATGCGCAAATTCCATATACATATTTGCGTTTTCATCCTCATCTTCCGAATCATCGGTAAGATAGTCGCTCGAATCATCGTCTTCATCATCATCATCCTCATCAAGCTGATCTAAATCAGCAGCAGCCTAAAAATAATTTGAGACATCTTAAACATTTCTATACTGATAGATAGATATCACCTGTCCGGATTGTATATTTATTTCTATTTGTAAACGAATATCCATGATTAGGAAGGCCGTCGTTACTAGCATTGGTATAGTAACACGACTTTTCCACGCCAAATCGGTGAGGAAGAGGAAAACTTCTCCGAATGGTGTATTCATGCTTGCATCTATCCTTTTCTGTCTATTCTTGTGTCTCCTCTTTTTTATCTTTTTTAATTTCCTGATTTATATCCTCTTGCTTGTCTGCAGTTTCTTGCGCCTGTTCCTGCTGGAGTTGGTCGTGCTTCACAATGTGCACCAGTTCCCCAACAGAAAGAGCCTGTACCGGTTGAAGGTGTCTATAGAATTCAAGATTGTTTAAAGGCTCATCTAGCGCTAATACGGCATTATTATTATCGGGATCCCCACTATGCAATAGCTGGCGTAAGCAATCGTTGCGCTTCTCTGCTAATGCTTCTACTAAACTCGCACCTTTTTTGATTTTCTGCAATTTTCGCTCTAATTTAGGGAATGAAAAACAAATAGAATAATTTATTAAATTGCTTATTTGAAAATTTCCGCAAAATATGCTATAATAGTTAAAAAAATATGTGCGCATGTTTGTCTACATACCGAGTCCACGTAAGTAATTGTCAGAATCGGGCAATGGCTCTAGGGAGCCAGAGGTGTTGTTGCTATTTTTTTCGTTACGCTTTGGGGGTGTCTCTTCAGGTGTGTTTTCGGAAGTATTTCCCGTAGGTGTTGCTTGTACGGGTTCGAAATTGTCTTCAAATTCCAAAGGTGCTCCCTGCGAATGTTCTTTGCTGTGCTGCTGCTGAATCTCGTCCTCGCTTGTACCGTTTTCTACCGAATTATTTTTATGGTCTGGGTTTTGGACCATCCAAGGATCTGTCATTTTCCTACGGAATAGCTTAGTTTACACAAAGGATAACAAGAAAACTACATAAACCGGGGCACACTTAACATTTTACAACGTATTTATGTTTAATCACAGTTTTCATATGTATAAACAAGAAAATAAATGCATGATCCAATTGGAAATATTCTTCTTCTTCTTTGAGTTCGAATCACGCTAAGCGTAGAACTAGGAACGAAACGATACCAGCGAGTACAAGTAAATACTCGATACTTTTGTTGCGATACCAAGTATTTTTTTACTCGATGCTTTTCAATCCGATACCAAGTAAGTATCGATACTTTGAAAAAACTCCGGAAATACTTTTGGGTGGGGTTTAGTACCGCTCACAACTATTTCGGGCTATTCCGTCCAAATGGGTGGCCCGATCCAAAAAAAAATTTCACACACTTGTAGTCAAGGGTCCACGCAATATTTTAACACTCACTTTTGTAAATTTTGGTTACTAATTTATTTACAAATTGGGTTTGAAATATGCCCTTTTTTGTAAAATTCGGAAATTAGCGTACATTTATCACTCCTATTCT